TATATACTCTTATTATTAACAATTTATTTAAATGGTTTATATAAACACTTATTATTGTAAAGTCAATCTATGACATTTATACACAACTTGTTACAACTTGTTTTTCTGATATACTAATTGCTATATGTACATTTATCTATATATATATATATATATATATGTATATATTTATATGTATACATATATATTTTAATCAACGAGTCTATGCGATAAACCTTAGTCGATTTTCTAGAGATTTTAAAGTTTGAAAACTTGGGAAATCTAGGACATCGTACACGCTGTCTTCGGTTAAGTTTATAAGCCCAAATCCCGTGAATTAAATTAATTAGCTCGCAAAAGAAGAAGATAACAGGAAAACAACTCAATTTTAATAAATTTCCACGCAAGACATATTTTCGTTTGTAATATTTACCAGGAACTTTCAATCTGACATCTCACGTCGGTTTACGGTTCTTTCGCTATCGAGCAAACTCGATGTCGAATTCACATCAACTTAAAATACGATCGATAACGAGAACCGTAAACCTGGCCGGCATACTTAATGGAACCGCGTGCAAATTATCTGGAGAACGGCTTACGTTTATACACTCTTACAATTAACAAAGAGATTTTTGGTTTATTGACAGAATTCCAAGATTCGCTCTAGACTTCTTTATTGTATTTGTTTTTCTCCTTTTTTTTTTTTTTTTCTTACCAACACAGTTTGTCTACCTACTGATAATTGCATAAGGCAAGTGCCTAAATATTAAACACAAAATCACACTTTATTTATAAAAAAAAAAAAAAAAAAAAAAATGCCTCATGTGAAATCGCACGCGATCAACTAACTACGATACAAAACAAAATTTCTGATATATTTTAAATTTAAATATTAACTATTTAGATTTAATAATTGTTTGGAAATGTTTTTCTTACTTTTTTCAAACATTTTTGCTTTTTTATTTTGAAAACTTGACTAAATATATAAACTCCATGTCTTTAATCATATGACATGGCACAACGAATATGAAAAAAAAGAGAAAGCAAGCAATCAAATAATTATACTAAAATAACGAAATGTATACATTTATTAAAAAATAAAAATTATAATATATGTATATATATACATATGCATATAAAATTAACTTGTTTTTATTAAAAAAAAAAAAAACAAGTGATGGAAAAGGTTTTACGGTTATGTGCGAAAATCGAAGGTCAGCTTACGGCTCTCGACAGTGATCGTAATTTGTCTACCTTACGCAACAGCAGCTATACAATCGAAAGACTTTCCTTTCCATTTTTCTGCCAAGTTTCCTCCATATCGAGAATCATAAATCCGGACACCGTCTGTTCGACCAATTTAACATCTTCACTTAATCATCTTTTCACAAGATATTTTCAAAAATACGACGTTATGAACCAGTCTCTTGAACTCATTGACCAAATAACAGATTTTTTTACACACGTCTGTCTATACGTTATTTAGAAAGAAAAGTGTTGCTATAGGTTTGATACATACTTCATAGAAATGAGGCTACGTATGAATTCAGATGGAAAATGCATAAAATTCTGATCTTACATTTTATTTTGCAAACAGAGTATACAACAGTCGTAATAGTTAGTAACAAAAGATTTGAGCCAAACTCGATATAATCTTTTTTTTTAATTTTTGCGCTCCAAAACTGAACCAAATCATTTGCAGAACTCGAAGGGATCCAGAAATCCTATAAAGCATTTATATTCTCGATCTCCATACGTATGTATCAAAATTTGGCTCCTGTTTCGATGTTATCGACGTAGCTCATGTGACGAAAACAATACAATCGTTTTTTTGGATTCACGGCACAAGTATGAAATTTTATATGCAATATTGAGCAAAACTTCATAGGCTCGTTAAGAGTTGGATAAGCTCGATAAGGAGTACTATTAAATCGGGATTGAAAATTACTTTCCGACTTGCACGCCCATCGTAAATTGACCCATCAACAATTGACATCGAAGCCTGTCCGTCTGTTCGTCGGTGCAATCGACTGTGTGATCTGTAGTAAACATATTCCTGGTCGTAAAAGTTTGCACATTGATCTCAAGATTAGCAGAAATATTAGAAGTTTTTGGTATTCGAACTGAGTCAATTCGGTTAAAAAAGAGATACCAACAGTGCAACGTAAACTGAGAATACCAAGCCACAAGAGGCAACAAAACTGAGATTTTTGCTGCGTATTAATGAGCAACAACAGATACAAAGATAAAAACTGTCATGTACTAGGTGCTTGCATGTGTTTTGATCATTTCTTCCGCGTCGGTATCAATGTGTATGGCTTCCCAGGATCAGGAGTTTATCGCAGTGGATCCACTTTTCATTGCTAGTCACAGTTCACCACAGAAAACTGTTCTACCTGGCAGGCGATTAAGCAGCGAAACGGTTCGAAATGACATTTTCACTCAATTTGCTTGGCAGACCCTTTGGGGAAACAGACGATTTGTTGGGCGCTGACCCGATCGAGGTGTATTTTGAGAGTATGAGTTGGGGTTTCGTTCAGTAAGTCTTGAAATTCATTGTCTTCGAACCTTCAATATTCAATTTTTTCGTTTTTTATTTTAAGCTGAAGATCTTGAGTATGAAGTACTCAGTTACAGACGAGTATAATTGTCGACCACTTGGTAGAATGTGGTGCAAGGGTTTAGTAAACCATTGCGGATGTATGCAACAACCGCAAGTATTTGAGAAGAGACCAACTTTTATTACGCCGATCTATTCAAGAGCACTTTCTGAATCGATCTGGGCTTGTCAGTCCATCGGTTCGTCTTGCTTCCTTGTGTTCAACCTACAAATCACAATTTTTAAGATATTTTGCTTAAATTTGGCACACCGCGGTTTCTTGGCCCAAGGACAAATGCTATTGAAAGTTATTTTTATTGGAACACTTTCTTGACTACTTTTCCTGTAACCTTTTATTTTGAAACATCCTTCTATGAATAATTATATTAAACAAAATCGTGTACCCTATTTAAAGCTGGGCCATAGTCCACTAAAATACTTTCACTTAATAAACGAAGTTTAAGTTTTCTTCTTTTTGCTTAAACTCCTCTTTTACTGAAGCCAACTTAAATAAATTTTATTCAATAATTTTTTTCGTTTTTTTTAATGAAATTTATTAATAATTACGGAGGAGTATTCTAAAAAAAAAAAAGAAGAGAAAGCAATAAATGAAACGTTATCTACGTAATGTTTAACATTGTATGGAAGGGGAAGCACAAACAGATATTTGTTTTTATTTATTTTGATATCTTTTAATAAAAAAAATATATATTTATTGTAAAATAAGATCATTTATGTGTACGTATAACTGGTAACAGCACATTATTATGACATAAATTATATATTATTATCATTTTTGATTTTTAAACTTAATGACTAAATGTAACACTTTCAAAAAATAATATTTTAATTGGGATAAATGTATAGATGTGTGTATAAATTTTTGTTCTCTCACAATTTTTCACAACATATATTTAACTGATATATAACAATAATTCGATAATCGATCAAGCACAGTTATGACTTTAATTAGACGCTAATACAATAATGAAATTAATAACAGAATAAAAATGTTGAACAATTAATTACACTATCAATGAAATATATTTTTTATAAAAATCTTTTGATTGTTTATCATCATTTTTTTTTTTTGTTTTTTTGTTTTGTTTTTAATATCTATTTTATTTTATTTTAAAAGTGCCTTTCTCGTAAGATGCTTATGTGATGTATTTTAATTATTTTTGTCGACGTGCGCCTATGTATTTAAAATTTATTGCAATTGTTAGGTTATTTTTTTAAAACTTGTATATTATTATTATTTTAGTGTTTCATTAAATTTATTAAATTTTCTTTATATATGTATAAAATAAAATTTAAAACTGAACGCGTTCCTTTTTATAAAAATCGTTTTTTTTTTTTTAACACTTTCTTTAATGTGTATTATTCAAAATTATATCTTGTAATTGTTTTGTTTTTATTTATTAATTTTCTTTTATATTTTTTTTTTTATATTTTATATATTTCCCTTGTTTTTTTTTTTTTTTTTGATTTGTTTATTTATTTTTTGATCACTGTTTTTCGCAAGTATATATATATTATCTTTATTTCAGTTTTCCTTTAGTTTATTTTATTTTTGTAAAATTTTATTTATATTTTTTATTCTACTTTTGATTTTTTTTTTTTTTTTTTTTTGTTCATAATTTAATTTCATTGAGATCATGTCATGTAGCGCATTATTTCACGTAATGCATACAGCAATTCGGCCTGATTGCGAGCCTCCATTACCATAAGATTAACATGAACCTGTTCGAAGATATATAAAAAGAAAAAAAAAGTTGTTTTTTTATTTCCCAAAACTGCATTTGTTTGCAAAAAAAATTCTTTATTTACCTTTTCACTATCCAGTAACTCAACGAGTATACTGTCGTAGTCCTTTGTAGTAATTCGATCCGGAAAACAACAGGCGGTTTTAATAAACATTTTTAAAGGACGATCTAAAAGCTGAAAAAACGATAACTTTTGCTTAATTTCAAGCTATCATCCATTTCATTTATTCCTTGCCTATGTACCTGATTAACTTCACCGTAGTCATAATCATCATGTCGTATACCGTAGATGCATTGTATATAATTCCAAATGGCACGACGGAACTTTGAAGTATCAACATTCTTTACACCACCCATAGTGAAATAAGTTAAACTGTAAGCGCAGCGAAATTTCTGATCCAATAAAGTTCCAACATCTTCATATAAGCTGAAATAAAGGAAGGGAAGCGTTTATAGACAGTTTTAACAAAAACTGAAACTAAAAACTATTCTTAAATTAATCAATTATATCGATTAGCGAAGCTATTATTTGGCTAAAATCTTTCAACCACTAACCATAATGATTATAATAAAGAGTTTCGAGACATTGAAGTAAAAAGAGCGCAAGCAAAAAAAGGGCAAAGTTGACCACATCCCGTCATTAAATACTTAACATTCCCCTTTAGGTATATCGGCAGTTATCTAAAAACTCGTCCGATCCGAACTACTTCCAATAGCGTTCATCCTTGGGCCAAAACACATCGGTGTACCAAATTTCACCAAAATATCTGGAAAATTGCGAGAACACAAGGTCAGACGGACAGACAAGCTTGGAAGTAATGCCGAATTTTTTCCTAAATCGATCGGCGTAATACAAAAAGAATCTAACATAAGAACACCAGACTGAAAGATAAGCTAGGAAGTGGTAACAAAATCAATCGAAACCATTTTTTGGAAGAAGCAAGCAAGTGGTTCTGAGGAATGTTTTCGCGATATGTTTCCGCGAGAGCGAAAGTCACAAACGAAAACAGAAAAAAATTGTCGGTGTTTTTTCAAGGTTGTCTCGATTTCTTTCATATTGAAAGCGTACTATTTTGCAACCATGCAAGTGAATAGACTGATAGAAAAACCGTCGAGTCGACATGCAGACCGGGACTATATTGAGTCACGATTTTGAATTAACCAAGTAATATGTATACCTTACCGAGTGCTGATACGTAAAATAAGGGGCAAAGGTTAAAACTATCAGGCAGTGCTATATTCCATTTATTTTGATTACATTTGTAAAATTTTTGGGCAAAATTGAACCCAGGAACGTCGTTAGGATAATTTCAACTTTAAGCGTAAATACGAACCCATTAACTAGTGAATAGCCATGATCGTCCCATGAATAGTCTTGTATGCGAAATGTATTTGGTATATTTTCGGCACCACGTCTAGCGAAATCTTGATACGTAAAATTTGGATCTTCTACATAATGAGATATAACCGGTGGCACTTCAACAGGAGTCTGAGGTGCGGTCGTTGACAGTTCGGCAGTTTGCATTTCAACACTTTTAAAGCGATTACTCAGTTCAGCTTCAGTGCACTCGTCTTGTTTCTGCGATAAAACTTTCATACGTTCCATCAACACCTCGACAGTAGCACTAGGCAGTGCTGTAAGTACGTAATCTTTAATTTTAATCAAAGAGAGAGAAAAAAACGAGAACATTACCATTCTTCTTATTGTTTACACCATTTAGAGCGGTCGATGAGCCGGCTCCGACAACATTATTGACACTAACATTTGTAGTCAGGCCGCTACCGGTAAATTCACCGGCAATGACTGCAGCATTGCTGTTTAGAATTATTTCGCTTAAAACAGTCTTTTGTGGTTGAACAGTTGGTTGAATTTGTACTGGTGGTTGCGGTGGTTGATATGGTATTGTTGTTGTAACGCCCCCAACATTAACCGTTGCGGTCGATATTTGCGTCGTTTTAAATTTAGGACTAGATAGGCCATCAAGTTTCTGTGTTAAACCGCAGGAGAATACGAACGATGATAGCGAATGAAAATGCGATAATAAAACCATAGCGTGCACCACTTCCGATAAGGACCAGCTGTTTTTATTCCTAGTCAGACTCTGAAAATGCGCAACACATATATGTTTATTAAAACATCATAATCGTTTTTATTCGTTTTCGTTACACAAAAAAAACAAAAATTAAATTAAACGCTCTATTTATGAAGCAATGAAATCCATATTTATCGATGATTGTTTGTAAGAAAAAAAACAAAAAAAAAAAAAAACAAACAGAAACGAAAACAATTGTAATAAAAATATTTTTTTCAAATTTTTTTATTTCATAATTTACCTCAATGTGTTCTTTACGCAACAGCCAGGGCCGATGTGCTAAAATTTTATTTATCTCGTATATGGCACGTAACTTGGAAGGTATATAATCTAGACCGTTTAACCATTCCGGATTGCCGCCTTGATTAAGAAATTCTTTCTCATACATTTTCACCAAATACGGGCATTGATGGCGGGCAGCGGCCTATGCAACGTAAACAAAATGAAAAAAAAAAAAAAAAATGGAAAAATTTATTCAAAAATAAAAATTACATTTTTATTATTAGTAGGCATCTTAGTGCTTAAGTTTATATAAATAACTTAATAAATGCAAATATTTCCTAAAGTTAATTAAATGCAAATCACATAAATATTCATAAACTAATGCCAAAAGCTATATACGTTACATAGGCATACATAGATAGGAAAAACACATTTTTTTTTTTTTTCCTTTAACTTTTAAATATTTTATTTATTATCATTTTCAGTTTTTTTACTTAAAACTTATGCAAATATTGTACATTAGGCAGAGGCTTATCTGGCGAAATGTATGTAGATAAAGGCAAGCAAGTAAGAAAATTGTCTTCGGCCATGACCGAACATCTTATACCCGCCACCGTAATCCAAAAAAAAAAGAAGAAAATAACTAAATTTTCGCACTCTATAACATTGGAGGGGCGTGGCTGATTGTTTCTATTATCAGAATAAAAGCGGGAAAATTTATATCTTATACGGGTTGTACTTTATGAGTAAGAAGCAAAAAACAGGGAAAGCAAATGTGTTTACAGTTTTTGCATCAATGGCATGTGGGCGTTGTAGGCGTCTCTAAGTCATTTGCAAGAACTTCCAATGTTCAAAATGCAATGCGGCAAATTTCACGGCGATGGCTTCACTTTTGACGGCCAGACGGACATGCTTCAATCGATATAGAATTTAATGTTGATTAAAAATATGTACACTTTGTAGGGTGTCTTAAGGTTCCTTCCAGACTTCGCAAATGGTGATGGGTATAAATCCAAGTAAAAACGCTTTGATTCGCCACGATTCGCCATTAAATAGCTTAGGCTATCCTACAGTTATCCATATCAGGACTCTTCAGTATGAGCAAATGATCAAAGAAGTAACTCGACTCGAACTATTTCCAATAGCGTTTGCCCGTGGGCCAAAAACACGTAAGTTTACCAAATTTTAGCAAAATATCACAAAAATTGCGGCCTATAGGTCGAGCACCATCAGGAAACTAGACCAAGCAGACGGATATATTAGTCAGTATAATAAAATGCGATCCCATCTCAAGTTTCTCTCAATGTTACATACATCCATACAAACTTAATACACCCTTCCGTCATAATTGGTGTAGCGTATAATAAAAGCAATCGTACACGGAAGGTGTTACTTACATAAGGCAAAAGCTTAATGTGTTTACCCGGGCGTATATAGTGTGTGAAAAATTTAAAAACACATTAAGCCTTCAGGAGGTCTAAATGCTTATTTAAACAATATTTTTAATTGCTTCAGTTTGATCATATAAACGAAAAACTTTACTAATTCCAAGGGAAAATCCTCCAGGGTGCGCGCTTTATCGCTAATAGCCACATTTGGAGAAGAAGGAAAGCGTAAATGGAACAGATTAAAGTCTAAGGGCGCCTATTACGTCATTGAATAGTCAATAATCACTATGTTATTAGAATAACTGGTTAGTGATCCAGAAGGTGTATCAGCTCTGAGGATCATTTCGTTTCAGTTTGATAAACTACAACAAGTTTACCACATACCAAGACCTCATCATCGTCAACGTAATTCGTCCAAATATCTTTCCAACTGGTTATGAATAATGGAGCTGTCAAGCACGAAAACCAAATGAAAAGAGACCGAATGAGAAGGCCTAAAAAGGCGTGCTAAGAGTGGCTATGCGAAAAGATTGGCAAATGTTTCTCAGCGCACGAGACACTATAAACAAGTCCGATTGATTGATGTTGATCAGACGGTTCAACCTACAGATGCAATTTTCGAGATGTTTTGATGAAATTTCGTGCACTGATGCTATTCAAAATGGTTCGAACCGGACCGCTTTTTCGACCGCCGACCGTATAACGCCTTGTTATATCCTGCACCACTTGCTGTGTAGAATACATTAAGCATTATGTAAGTGTATTATGTAACACACAGAAAGACTTAAGATAGACCCATCTTTCGTTATGCCGATCGGTTCAGAAAATGATTCCAAGTCGATGATTTAGAAAATGGAGGTCCGTCTGTCTGTATATTTATTCTAATGCCGGGCCGAGTATATTTGAGTTCACGTCACAAGTGGCAGTTTTAACGAAAGTCGGTAATTTGTTGAAAACGATTCGGATCGGTCCACTTTTTTGGAAAAGGAATTCCAATCCGTGTAATTACGGTGAAAGATTGGGTTCGGCTCGGGCAATTTTTTGAATCTCTTCTCATATCACCGTTTTTAGCAAAATGGAATCTTTATAAGGTATAATTTCCACCGCTTCATGGTGGAAATTGCTTCGTAGTAGTGTATACCAAAAAGGCCTAAATGTTAATGATGAAATTTTGTTTATGACAGTAATCTGATATAAAAATTAAGTGAGCCAAGTGTATTTCTTGGGCCCCACTTCACATAAGATTTTTCATGAATAGTAAGCCCTTCAGAAGAAGATTTAATGTTTATTGTTTTATGATGAAAATTAGCTCATAACAAAAATAGGGCAGAAAAATTAACGATACGGAATTTGGATCACATTCGTCCATTTTTTAGAATTCAACTTGTACAGGAGTTACCATATAAAAAGCAAGCCCTTATATGGAGGGAAAGTTTAATTTCTCTTTTTTTTATGACAGAAACTGAAAAACAATAAAATCTTTAGGAGAGAATTAGATTTGTTGAATATGGACCAAGTCAATGGAGATGCTACAATATAAGGCCTTTCATGGAAAGTAGGCCTTTTGGATTATTATTACCAAAACGAGCAAATGATTGTACGGGGCGTAGTGATGTATGGCAGGTAGACTTGGCCCCATAATAAAGTTCTTACTTATTTTAAATTAAAAGCGTAAGTATGGCTAGAATGTCGTAAAAACTTTACTAATTTTCTTTCTTTTTTTTTTTTTTTTTAGTAATCAATAAAACTAATCATTAGCAACGTGAATGAACCTTTGCTCAAACTATCGTAATTGAATTTATTAAAGTTTATTATTTATGATCATCACTTTGCACATTTGACTTTGATCAGTCATCGTGTTCACGGATATACAAAAAAAGTTCCATTTCTACACTGGGAATCAGATGGTTTTGAAAGGCAGTTCTGCCTAGTGAGCACTATGACTACTTTTATTTATAATGATATTAACAAAATACCTGACCCTATATGGCTTGCGGTGCAAGGGCGTATTAAGTTAGTGCTGATGTATGCGATGTCGAGAAGCACTTCAGATAGACCCAGATTTTCTATTAGGCCAATCGATTACGAATAATATTCTACACCAATTTAAGCTTGTCTGTCCATCTGTCCGTTTTGCTTGCTTAGTGATGCTGAGCCTACAGACCGCAATTTTCGAGATATTTTGATGAAGTTTGGTGGAGGCTGACGGCCCTTGAAAGAACGCAATTGGAAATGGTTCGACCACCGCCCACCTCCCTTGTGTTAAGAACTCATTGTATGAATTCTTGTAGATCACGGTAGGGTGTTTAAGGGTAAGCCGCGACTTATTATAATGTTTTTAGTTGTTCTATTAACAGAAATGGTTGTTTAAACATTTTCTTTTATGGGAAAGTTATGTAACGAAGTTCATCATCATTGAAATTGTCGCTGGCGGCGAAGGTCGGTCAGATTGAGAAAATCGCTTTTTAAAAAACATTCATTCCTTCTCGAACGATTTAAGTGTCGACGAAGGTCGTTACTTAAATTAACCAAATTTCACAGCATTTTCTTTAAAAATAAACGATTGCACGATTAAAGCTCGTACCATAAACAGATGCAGATTTGGTCATCTTTAGCATTTCAACTTGTTTTTGTTGAGTAGCGCAAACATTTCTACATCTGTTTGTTTGTTTTTTTTTTTGGCTTTTTTTTATTTATTTATGTGTTTTTTGTTTTTCTTGTTGTTTTCTTATTTTAATGAATTGTTGTTGTAGTGTTAGTCGAGTTGAATCATTTTGATATCGTGCTCTGCTATTATTTTTTTTCTTTTTTGGTTTATTTTTGAATCGTGTCACATGTGAAGAATTTTTTTCCTTAGAATTTGTTTTCTTTTCTTTTTTTCTGCTTTTTCGCTTTCTTTTCTTTTCTTTTCTTTTTTTTTAACAATTCTTGGCAATGAGTTGTTTGTTACATATACTTTGTTTTTGTTTTTTTGTTTTTTTTTTTTTGTATTTACTTAATTCCACCAGAAATAACAGCGAAAAGGAAAAAAAACATTTGTTTCTATAGAGATTAGTGAGACTGTTTGGCTCTATTTTGACTTGGGCAGCAGTGATTTTCAAACTTTGAACATTAACGAACCATGAAAAGATTTCTGCATAAAATGCCTTTAAAGCGCTGGAAATGCTTTTAACTAAATAAATGATCCGTGAAAGGACAGCCATTAACTTCAATTTAACTTAACTTGGTATGACCTCTTGATTAATGTATTTTGCATTATTTTTCCCTTCTCCCCCTGAACGCAACAATAACATCATTAACAACTTTATTATTACATTTTATTTATACAGAATTGATTTCTTCTTATTTCCCTCTTTTTTTTTATAGGTATAGTTTTTTTTTTTTTTTTAAATATTTTTTTTTGGTTATTAAGAAATCAAAAATATATTAAAAAACAAAGTCTAATATTAAACAATCGAATGATTCAGACCCATCATCTATTTTAAAAATCTCGCCCCCAATTTAAGTCATGAGTAATGATTTTTCTTATGAAATGTTTTTCTTAAACGCATTCTCTAAGAATTTCCCAATAAACAACTAATGAGTAGCAAATCTAATATTTATGAACATTCACGCACATCTGTATAAACATACTAAACTATATTGAAATAAAGTGTGCTTGCTTGCTTGCTTGCTTGCTTGCTTGCCTCCCTGCCTGCCTGCCTGCGTGCGTGCGTGCGTGCCTGAGTGCGTGAGTGCTTGTGTAAATTTTCTTTTAGATGAATTCATGTGAAAGCATTTCATGCGTTTTTGTTTTTTTGTTGTTGTATTATTC